GACAAGACGTATCTGAAGCCGGTTCGTATGAGAGCTTGCGTCGAGAGCTAACCGCGTCAATGCCCACACATCTGTGAGCGAGCAAGTGAGTTAAAGTCTGGACACTGCCGCTCGAGACTTCACCTGCAACTTGATCGCTCGCGGGCCTTCGTTTGTTTCCGCCTTTGCGCCTCTCTGGTTAGTACCACGCCCAGTGTTGAGCCGTCTAGCCCAAGCGGTCCCAGCCAAAAGAGCAAGCGGCTTCCCTGCTACACCTTGCCTCAGCTCGTGAAGATCACGGGTGCGTTCGAGACGAGCGTTCCGCCATTCAAACTGGACGTCGGCAGACTTCGTCCAATTCGTTCCCGTGGATTGGCCGGTGGAGGGTGTTCTTGCATGGCTGCTTTCCATCCTCCCGATTTTTCCTCCAGGCCCTCATCCACAGGCCGAAGGTGCCGTGCTGCCGCCGAGGCGGACGCTGCAGTGGTCTCGCAGCTCTGGGGCAGTTCCAACAAGGAGACACACTTCAGAAATGATCTCAACTCGTGTTTTTGAACCACCAAAATCGTCTAGGCAATTATTACTTAGAGGCTCCATAGTGGTTCCTGTTGGGGTTCATATTTAGAACCCTATCAGGTAATCCCCAAAAAGGAACTACTTTGGAGCCTATGGGTAAATCCCTTTTTTTGGGATCCTCGCCTTCCGGGAGACCTCCGCGCCGTGCACAGGGGGATGACGGGGCTCAGATTAAGGGATCTTTGAGGGTTCTTGGTAAGGAATTTAGTTTAAGGTACCATAATGGGATACAGCAGGGTTCTTTTAATCCGATTGGCTGGTTGCAACGATTTGGCCGAAGTGGCATTCGTCCGCGATAGACGCCGAAGCGAGCGATGCTGCCCTGGCCGAGATTTGAGCCCAGCCATGCCTTGTTTCGTCACTGCAAAAGCACGCATAAGCTGAACCCCGAGGTCCTTCAACCCATGCTTGAGCTGCTTGTGCTTGCAAGTCTGATCGCCTGCCGCCTGTGAGCCTTGAAAGGGCACTCCCCCTTTTGAACTCCAAGCCTTAAACCCTTGTGAAAACCCTAAACCTCATCGTATGCCTTCTTGATTTCTGTCAGCCCTCCACTGGGTCCCCACGGTGTTCAGGATATGCCAAGCTAAGCAGATCATGTACAGCAAAGCCCACACAACTCGAACGGTCCGCAGCTTCTGGGGAATCTGGGAGGCTGCACAGCATAGGGTTTCAGAGTTGCTTTGCGGTGGCGGAGATTTCGCGTTGGGTTCCGGAGCCCCTGTTGGCCTTCGCCGCGACATCCTGTTCTGGCCGGAAGTCTATGTGGAGATCTCAGTGTGAGGCGAAGGTTTGGAAGATGACTGTTGGGCCTTAAAGGGTCGGTGCGGGCTTTCTTCACGTCCCCACTTTCGAGGGACTCGTTCAGATGATGCAATGACTCAAGGACCACCAGTTGAAGAGCTGCTGTGACAAGACGTATCTGAAGCCGGTTCGTATGAGAGCTTGCGTCGTGCATCAATGCCCACACATCTGTGAGCCAGCAAGTGAGTTAACGTCCGGACACTGCCGCTCGAGACTTCACCTGCAACTTGATCCCTCGCGGGCCTTCGTTTGTTTCGGCCTTTGAACTTCAAAGAGCTTTCATTTTTTACTTTAAAGAGCTTTCATTTTTGCGCCTTTGCTTGGGTCTTCTGTTGACTCCCAGTCCCACGCCCGGCGTTGAGCCCTTGGAGCTGAGCTGAGCTGCGACGTCGAGCTCGCGGCGTGCGTTTTTCTAACCCGCGGCCCCAAGAACGCCTGCGAGGCTGTCTCTGCGGTTTCGGCGAGATCCCCAGTGCACTCTAAAGGCTCCGTGGGTCTGGCTTTCGGATTGATGCCCTAAGATCCCGAAAAAGTCGGGGCAAAGCCATCCGACGCCGTCGTGCATCGAGGCTTCTGGCGCCGAGTCGCGAGCATCGCGCGGCCTGCTCCCTTCGGCTCCTTGGGAAAGGTCTGCCACAGGAGCGAGTAGGCAGGTTCTGAGGGTTTAGGTGTCGGGTCTAGAAAGAGTCCGACAACTCTGAGGCCTTGCAGTTTGCAGGACATCTGTCAGATTTCTATGGACTCAATTTGCGGGATACCCCTGCAGCGACCTTGTGAACATACCGCAACATCAGCCGCTGGTGTTGACGGCTCGGATGTGCACCACGTCATGACAGGGTACTCATATCCGTGACTGTTGCCGTGGTGATGACACGGCAAGCACCAGTTGTCTTGCCCCTTTGCCATGAGTTGGACTTTGTGGAACAGTGGCGCGGCTGGCGGTGTCGGTTTTGCCGGCAGCCTTTGAAGCCGCATAGTCAGGAGGCTGCTTGGTTTCGGTTGCCGCGGGTTTGTCGTAGGGGCCTAGGTCTTCGGTGTTGTACGGCTTTGCTGAGTTTCCACTCCAACATGTAGCAAAGACATAGTCGGAGGTCGGTAGTCGCGATGCAGGTAAAATTTTCTCCGACCTGACCACCGGAATCTCGGCTTGGATGCATGATGCTGCGCTTGTGCAGAACGTGGAGGGCAGCGACGCTCGTGCCGCCATCGCACAAGGCAGCTGGCAGCTGAGCCCTCTGCCGGCCTCTTCTCGCCACGTCTCGCGCCGGCCGACCTCCGCTTAAGCTGCGTCTGCCACGGGGTGTGGGGCAGATGATGGCTGCTTTTCGCATCCCCTGGGACTTTAATGCGAGCTTCGGATTTGTCTGTGGCGGCAGAAGGCAGTGCTGCCGCGTTGTCGGCCACGCCGCACAGCATCCAAAAAGGCAGCAGCAAGAGGGCACTTGACGCGCGACCGCTGGTCGCTGTGTGAAGGCCTGTGTCACCTGCTGCACCTCCCAAACCCCAAACCCTAAACGGCCCTAAACCCTAAGCCCTTAAAGATCTGGCTCGGGGCCCAGGGCTGCAACTTTCCGGACAGAAGGTCACTCTCAAAAAATCTGTCACTTGCACTTCTGCTAAGGAGGCACAGAGTGGCCGAAGTCAGTTAAATATCATCTGTGGTGACGGTGACGATGAACGATCCGGATCACACAGCAGAAGAACATGAGAGGTCTCCGTTCTGTGGTAAGAGGTATGGTTCTTGAAGCTCAGCAGAGAAAGCCACGGCGGCTGCTGGTATGCTCTTGGAAACGCCACGTGGGTGACCGGCTGTCATAGGGCGGTGCCAAAACTGAGCTCCCCTTGGGCGACCGGCAGGTTTCTTGTAACCCCGTCGGCCGCAGCGTCCGCAGCAAAAGCACGGAGCTTCCATGCGGAAGCCACTCGACAAGAAGGCGCCTTGAAAAAGCATGAAAGCTCTGCTTCTGGAGAGCGTCCTAAGCGCCTCACGTGCTGCTTCCTTGCTCGCTAGGCTCCTCGCGAGTCCTGCGCTCTATGGACCTTGTCCATCCTCGCCGCCTCTTGCAACTTCTGCATTTTCTGCCTCAGTTCTGGCAAGGCATGCATCGTGCCAGGCAAGCTGCCCTTGATCTCGGTCCGAGGGCGCTCTCCGACTCTGCGGATGGCTGCCGTGGCAGGGGCTTGCAAGCTGTGTGGGCAGTGTCGATGCTATGGCCGCCAGAAGCCGCTTGAAATCGCGAGCGCATGGCAAGACTCCTGGGATCCTCGGTTTCGGGTTGAAGATGACGAGCCCAGCGCTCCAGAAAGAGTTTCTAACCAAGGCCACCTTGTCTCTTGCAAGAGTGTAGTGAGCAGGTACAAAGGAGGTGGCTGGCCTCCGTCGTGCTAGAGTGGTAGGAGCTTGTAGACAGCGGACTATTTGCAACCATCCCCAGGGTGGTGTGAGCACGAGAAGACGATGACCACACCACCCGGAGCATCATGAGAATTTCAGGTGGTGGCAGAAAGACGAGAACAGCTTCGCTTAATGCGACACTGGCACATTGGCAAGTCTGCCCAATGTTTACGAGGCAGCAAGAGCTCTAGCAAGCAGCTAAGCAGGCAATTGCGACAACATGGCAAGTGCAAGGCCCGAAGCGACGGTGAACCTCACATTGGCTTTCGCAAGCCGGGCCCCATCGGCTGTCCCTGAGGCCTTCTGCAAAGTCGGGAGTCTGATCTCCAGAAAGGGCCAGCAAGCAGCTGCCAGAAGGTGATAATCTAGGCTCGAAGTCTTATCACGAACGTCACACTTGAATATGCCTGCAAAGAATGAAACAAAGGTTTGGGCTCAAGAGTGTTGCATGGCCTTCTGAATCTAGGTTCGAAGTCATATCAGCTACATCGAGCTTGAATATGCCTGAAATGATTGTAAAAAAGGTTAGGGGCTAGGTGTGTCTGCGTGGCCTTCTGACCCCGGATGCTTCCTCCGCAAGGCTTGGTATCTGATGCCAGCTTTCTCTAGAAAGGCACCAGCTAGCAGCTGCCAGAAGGTGGTATTCTAGGCTCAAGGTCTTCTCGCCTGCATCATCTTTGAACACACCCTAAACCCAAAACCCAAAACCCCAGGCCTAAAAACATCCCTAAACCCTAAGCCGTAGACCTGACATGAGTATAGTCCACACTTCTGGAGGCCGTGCTCCTGTGCTCCCGGCCTTCATTCAGCACTGCTTTACGAGAGCATTGCGTGGTGCCGCTCTTGAGTTGTAGATGAACTAAAGGTTAACCTTTTTTTGGTTATATAGGGATTATACAGGGACTACACCACCCAAAAAATGTTAAAGTTTAAAGGCTACCTTTCGGAATGGTCCCGCAGAACGCCTTGTTTAGGGTTGCAGCATTTAGGGCAAAGCTTAGGTTTTAGTGTGAGGCTTAATCGCATGTTCATGGTCTCATGTGTCCGGTCGCCGCTTGCAGCCTTCAGCTCACCTGGCGGATCCCGATGCAGCGTGGAGCAGTCTTAAGATGTTCGAGTCCACAAACTTCCCTTAGCTTTTCACCTGGGTCTTGAAACTATGGATCAACGTGCGTCTGTGTTTTAATCAAACTTTCGGACTTTTGGAGGACGTGCTGGCCTTTGTACTTGCTTCCAAGTCCCGGAAGGCATGAGGACGAGCCCACGACGTGCTTCCCTGATGCGGGAACGTGCGAACGTTGAGCTGCCCTTGCCACGGTGGGTCTTGGGGTACCGACAGGACCAGCCACGCTTGAAGCCGAGGGCACACGTCGTGTTGCTTCAGAAGCACATGGCCGCCCGGATGCCAGCGATTGCAACGCCCTGCCTGCAACTGTTGGGCGGGACTCAAGACTTTCAGCTCTCATCGCATCATCACTTTGGGCAGGAATGGAAGCATCGGGCGCATGTTCAGCTGCCCAGAGTAGTAGTTCTCGATCGGGCGGCTTGTCACGGGCCCTCGCGGTTGGAGTGCGGCCAGACGCAGTTCTTTTCCTGCTGCTGTCGCGTCGTGCAGTGCTTGGGTTGGAATGGAAGGGCTCCGATGCCGCCCTCATCGCTTTGCTTAGGTCGCGGAATGTCCGAGGCTCAAGGGAACCGAGCGCCGAGGGCACCCTCTGTGCCGACACTGGAAGTCTGCTGTGGGAAGCATCGGGGGGGAGCCTCCGGGTCTTAGAAGGGAAAGAGACACTAGGCTCTTAGCCACATTCAGCCATTGTGTGTCAGCTTCCAGGAAACGCAGACGAAAAAGTGACTGCTTTGGTGTGCCAGACATAACATGCCTGGGAACATGTTAGTACGAGAGAGTGTTGGAAAATACTTGGTTGCTGCTTTTCATCTCCAGCGCACTGATTTGTTATCTTACGGTATGGTTGTTATTTGCACGAGGCATCGTACTAGCAGGGAGTGGCTTGGAGTCCTCGTAGTTTTCCCTGTTGCTTATGATGTGTTGTAGTATCGTATAGCGTCTTAGGATATGATATGTTGCAGCATTTCACAATTGTACGATGGCAAAAAATGTTTCCCGGCAGCATTTTCAAGATACTTCATGATGCTTCATGTTTTCCCGAAAGCATCGCGAAGGGTTCTTCCGGGCGGAGCCGCCCAGATGAGTACATAGATGACAGACATAGAACTTACTTGACTGTATGCTATACTGACTTACTTACTTACTGATTGACTCACTGACTTACTTACTTACCTAACTTACTTAGTGACTTACTTGTCTTACTGACTTACTTGCTGACTTACTTACTGAACTTACTTAACTTACACACTTAACTTACACACTTAACTTACTTACTTAACTGACTTACTTAACTTACTTACTTAACTTACTTACTTAACTTACTTACTTAACTTACTTGTTGACTTTACTTTACTTTTGACTTTACTTACTTACCTTATTACCTTACTTACTTACTTACGATACTTACTTACGATACTTACTTACTTACTTACGACTTACTTTTACTTACTAACTTTACTTACTAACTTATACTTACTAACTTACTAACTTACTAACTTACTTAATTACTCTTTTAAAGCCGGGGGTGGCACCGTCAGCGTCCATCGGGAATGCAACCCTTCACAGGGATTCGCCTCCTCGGGCGTTCAAACGCGAGGTAAAGTTACACATTTTAGGGTTCCGGCGCAACCCTTCACAGGGATTCGCCTCCTCGGGCGTTCAAACGCGAGGTAAAGTTACACATTGTGCGGGCGCCGCGCAACCTTTCACAGGGATTCGCTTCCTCGGGCGTTCAAACGCGAGGTAAAGTTACACATTTTGCGGGCGCCGCGCAACCCTTCACAGGGTTTGGGTGCAGTTCATTTTTTTTTGCAACCCTTCACAGGGATTGGCATTTTGCAACCCTTCACAGGGATTGGCGTGGTCGGGTGTTCGAACGCGAGGTAAAGTTGCATTTTTTGACGAGCATTGAGATGGAAGGCCGATGGTCCTTTTGTTACCTGAGGCTCGCGACACGATCGAGGTCCAGGTCAGGGTATGAGCCCTCACTGTAACTCTATGACTTTATGACTCATGACTCATGGACTCTACGACTCTTGACTGCATCGGCATTTCGAGGTCCAAGTCAGGCTCTGAGCCCTCACGCTAGGCGGATCTTGATTAAGCGTTCCCAAACACAGAGCATAGAGTGAACTACATCGAGTCAAGTGTATGGTACAAAGATGACTCCACGACTCCGTGACTCTATCTCACTACAACTCTATGACTTTATGAATCATGACCCATGGACTCTATGACTCTTGATTCAGTGACTTTACCATCCTATACAGTGACTCTATCTCACTACGACTCTATGATTCTATCTCACTACAACTCTATGACTTTATGACTCATGACCCATGGACTCTATGACTCTTGACTCTGTGACTTTACGATCCTATACACTGACTCTATCTCACTACGACTCTATGACGCTATGTCACTGCAACTCTATGACTTTATGACTCATGACTCATGGACTCTATGACTCTTGATTCTGTGACTTTACGATCCTATACACTGGATCTACCACATAACCCCACAATCTTCGCTGATGATGCTTTCGGGCCAATTGCCTTCTAGTTTGACAATTGCCCAAAGAATCCTTTGTACTGGCATTTGGTAGCGTCTTGTGTTCCACCAGTTGATTCGTACATTACAGTGTATTACAAGATATAAGTATGATGATGTGACCATTATTGTTATTTACCATATGTTCAACATCAACTTCACCGGGTTGCTATTGATCCTTCTCTATAGGAACGGAATTCTGCTGTTTGCTGATCGCAGTATCCGGGCAGATGGCCGAAGAGAGAAGACTGCAGTAATTGACTAATGCACATGGGTGGTTGTCAAAATTAGGGTGCCTTTTTGTGCACCCTAAATATTACGTGCCGTATTGTAATAAGGACCCAAAAAAGGACCATAATTTTGACAACTACCCACATGTACCTTTGATTGCCTCAGCACGACTTCGAACGAGGGGGAGGTGAATTTCGGCTCATCAGTTCTTGTCTTGCAGTTGCTTTGCATCACGGCAGGTTCAATTTCTCAACAGTCTGTTGTTTGGGAGCATAGACGGATGGAGGACGTCATTGCCCACAAGTTCCGTGCTTAAGCCCGCAGACATACAGCCTCACGTCTGATGTCGAAGGTTTGAAAATGCGGCCCTTGATGTTGCTTGTTGAAAAGATGGAGAAGAAGAAGAATACGCAGCAGGTCGGCAGAACAAGTGAGCCGTTCCGAATAAGTCGTTGGGAGACCCGAAATGCTTCAAGTGTCGTGCGGAGTGAGGAAAGGCATCTGCAATCTGGCATCTTGATTTTCTGCTTTACGACAGTGAGAGGGTTGCGAAGTGGATCCTTTCGTGGCAAATGTCTTTCCAGTTGTGTTTCGTTTTCGTAGCAAGTAGTAGGTGGCTGAGCAATCATGCTTCAAGGATCATGGGACTTAGTAGTTGGGATTACAAGTAAGGTAGCTACCCGTATAAGTACATATAACTTTAGTTAAGATACTTATAACCTTGATCCTCCAAGTGGGCGCCTTTAAATCGTGATTCGAGCCTAGCTCGTAAGCTCCTCATTTGTTGAGGCTCGTAGTTCTGCATGTCGACGAAGCTTTGATGCCGGCAGATAAGTTTAGGAACATGTGAAGCTGCAAGTCGTAGAGCGCATTGCACACAAAGACTCAATAATTTCAGCCTGATACTGTTCGCTGTACTAGACTATAACCCATTTTCAAAACCCGATATGAAAGGCACAGGGATCGATTCAGCGTTGAATTGTCGGCGAGAACCCTTTTACGGAACAAAAACCACGATACCCCGGTGCCGAGAGCTGTGCTTGTTTTGCACTTTGCGTAACAATGGTTTGCACTGTACCCAGAGACTCCGAAATCGCGTAATCCGTGAACTCACCTTAAACTGTCGGGTGACAGGCCTTTACCAGGGCTTTTAATGGGGCTGAATGCGTAAACTTGCGGTTGGTTTCAGTAATTTTGGAACTTGGGGGAACCCGTCAGGAAGCGTGGAACATGGTCCAAGAGCGGTGACTGGATCCGCAAAATGAAGTGGGTTGAGGCATCTGATGTCCGTGCATGTTCCGAGTTTCTGAGGGGTGCTATTGCGCAGAAGATTCATGGAAACGGGAGGCTACTATCGTCGTCGCTAAACGGTAATTGTTGTGTGCTGCTCGGTGCTTGTTGGTCACGGCGGGAGCAAGCTCTGCTTCCATCCTCACAGGTTCATCTTAGTCTTAGTCCCTAACCACTCTTGCTGAAGTCGAACATTGTCAGGCGCAGAAATTCTCGGTAATGGTTGTTTCGTGAAACGGAAGGAGAAGCGTGGCCAAGGAGAGCATTGAGTACACCCTGCTGCTAGTACCATCAGCAGCAGTAGTACTTCTTTGTAGCAGAGTCGGTATTTGGTTACTAGCAGCATAATTTGATGGCCACTGACAATGCTTGCAATGTAGGGTCGTATATAATTACCTATACTAATCTGGGGGTTGCCTTATTATGAATATGGTACATTGTGCCCCAAGACCCTATTCTAATTATAGGGCCTCTATAATAAATCCTTATAACGGCCCGTGTAGGCCCCTTTTAAAGGAACTCTTTAAAGGAACCCTGTTCTAATTATTAAGGCCACTATAGTATAGTATTTGGGGCAGGAGCCGGTCGTAGGTAGCAGTATCTGGCCACTGACAGTTACAGTAGAAGCCTAAAAGTCGGAAGCCCAATAGCCTCAATCCTTAAGAGCAATATATAGGGAATCCCAGCACTATTTGGCCTTAATCCAGTTTCCAACTTTATGGGGTTTACTGTAGTTGTGGCAGCAGGGAAAGGAGGAATAGCAGCAGGGTTGCTGGGTGGTGCTGGCGGCCATTGACTGCGTTCTCGCTCAGGAACTTATTCTAAGTTACAATAATAGGGATCTATAGTAAATAATATGGTATTTTTGATATGGTAGCTCGAATTAAATCCTTTAACAAGAGCCCAATTGAAAGCAAGAGCAGTCTCACTTAGCAAAGAGGCACGGTGCTCTGTGTTTTAGAAGCCACACGGGCTGCAGGGTACGGGATGTGTTAATCCCGAAATGCTAAACATCCTAAACCCTTAACCCTCGCAACCTTAAGCCGAGAGGGCTCACCTGAGCCCTCGAGACTAGTGTCGTTTCGGTTCAGGGGTTCGGGTCGCAAGGTTAGGCCTCTCCTTAAAGGATCATGGGACTTAGTAAGTGTGGTTATAAGTCAGACAACTTATAATTACTTATAACCCCACTAGGGTTCCTAAAACATTACTTACTAGGTCCCATGATCCTCCAAGTCGGTTTAGGGCCACGTACCTGAGGGCAACACAGCTTCTGGCAGAAACGAGGGTTTAGGGTTAGGGATTAGGGTTTAGAGCTGCGCAACAGTACACCGTTCAATGTTGCCGACCCAGATCACGGAAGTCGAAAGAAGAAGGAAACATGCAGTTCCTACGCAACACAAACTAAACCCAACACCCTAAATCCAAAAACGGAGCATTAAGAAGCCTACAGTACACACAACATCTGTCACTGAGAGTCTTCGCAGCCCTTTCCGCCGAGGCTGGGCACGACGACTGCGCGACTAAGGGATCGGCGCCGTGCACTGAGTCGTCACCGACGTGGGTTCCTTTAATTTCCT